GCTTCTCGAGTTTTATAAAACGATCCTCGAGTTTTATAAAACGATCTTCGGGTTTTATAAAACGGCTTCTCGAGTTTTATAAAATGATCCTCGAGTTTTATAAAACGATTCTCGAGTTTTATAAAACGATTCTTCGAGTTTTATAAAACGATTCTCGAGTTTTATAAAACGATCCTCGAGTTTTATAAAACGATTCTCGAGTTTCATAAAACGATCCTCGAGTTTTATAAAAAGATCCTCGAGTTTTATAAAACGATTCTTTGGGTTTTATAAAACGATTCCTTTTATATTTTTGCGGGGATTTTCGGCCTTTGATTCCATCGTACCGATTTTGACCCCAACAGTTAGCCCCCCAGCTCATAAGAATCTTGAGCCTTTAGCGTAAGGTTCTTGCGAGTGGTTAACCAGTTTAAGTTAAGTTAGGCGGAATTAATGGTCGGAAAGGTCCGTTGAAAGTGATCTTTCCACTTTCCAGGGAGCGGAAAGCGTTTAAGATTAGGGCTGCGCCTTAAGAAGGCTGCCTACGTACCCTTTTGAGGGGATCAAGCCTTTCGTAGTTCGTTTTGGAATTAAGGTTCGTATGACATGTTTCCTAGCAAAACCTTTACGGTCTAGTTATATGTCGTGTATGAATTATCGAGCATATTGATGTCGATGGCATCCGGACCTTTAACGGCCTTGAGACTAGCCTCGTAGGCCGTTTGGTCTGGCCGAGTGTGGCCGTTATAGTTTTCGGACTGGCCGTGTGCGGCTCTGAGTCCCTGCCACTTTTGCTGCTTTATTAAAAATCAGTTTGCATTTTTTAAGAGCGTGTTTTTAGTCGTATGAATGTAGCGGGAAGATTATGAGTTGATATTGAGGGAGGTCCGCGAGTTGTCGTCTCGCATTCCTTTTTCCCTTAGTGTATCGCCTTGTTCGTTTGCTCGTTTTAGGATGTTTAGTAAATCGAGTGAGCGTTTAGATATAGACGAAGAGACATGCCTTTAGGATCTCGATTCATGCCTTGAGACGTTAGCGACCAGTGTGTTGGGTTTAGGGCAAGACCTAGGTTTACTTTCGGATTGAGGCTATGCGATGACTAGTCGGCTTTCGTTTTCCCTGTTGCGATTTTAACCTGATTCCATACCGATTTAGAATCCGCGATTGGTTCTCGGCTTATACGATTCGTCTGGTTGGAACCGAGCATATCACCGGGAACAATTTCTAAGTTGCCCGGAAGTGCTGACCAAAAGTTTGGATTTCTTTTATAGCGCTATTACCCTTGTGTTGGGTGTTCGAGAGCTATCTCTGCGAGATAAGTTAAGTTTGTTTAGGACTGTTGCGAGTTTGTTGTGATCAGCAACAAACTTTTTAAGCGATAGATGTTTACGTTGTTTTGGCCTTCGCGAAGGATACATACGTTAAGAAGTTTTGTGTAATTTTATAGTCGCGGACGGACTGTTAGGTCTTCCAAGAAAATGACTTTATCGAGGAAGGTATTTTTGTCGAAAAACTATTCTCCGGGCGTCTGCGACGTCTCGCAGTGCCGAAAGTTGGTTTTTATTTTATATGCCGCGTTTCGTGTTCGGAACGTTTTCGGGCTCGAAGATGGTGCACGGTCTTGCGAGGGTTTTGTCTTAACCTTGCTTTGCAGGAAAACTTTGGTTCATTTACGGATACTTGCAATTAAAACTTACATTCCTGTTTGGATGTTAGGTAGTTTTATGATTTGTGCTAGAGCAATTAGGACCGAGAGGTCGCGTAAGTTGTTTCTCCGAAACGAATCGTTTTTCGTTACGGTGTTTTGTGAAGTGTTGACCTTCCAAGATTCGTACGGCTTTATGAGCTCTGGTACGAGTGTTTTCTTATACGTTGGATTTTGTAGGCAACTTGCTTCGGGAATAGAGTGAATCGCGAGAATACAGAACTTAGCCGATTTTCGACAAGTTTGCATTATCCGTTGAATGTATTGGCTTGGCGTGAAGGTTGTGTTCAGCCGCACAGCCAAGGTCGTATTTGGTAGATGATTAGACCACGACACTTTCGTGCTATCGAAAAGGTCGAGTCGGTTTGTAAACTTGGCATTGAAGTGAAGCGCGATCGGACAATAGCCAAATAGCGTTCGTCGAGCTTGATATGCCAAGTATACCCGTGTTTATAGAAAACTTTCACTACAGGAAATGTGGGTATTAACAGCGGCCGTTAAACGTTATTAGTTTGATACCATAGCGTTCCCTTAAACGCTCTCACAGCGCCCGTTATAATAGGTCCGGCACGTTCGATAGCGGATCTTACATATGCTATAGTTAAGTAAACAATGATAGCGTCATTGACTATGCAATTGTTAAATCCTATAATAACTTCTTAT